ACAAACATTTCATCAAACATTTTTTAAACAAATCCATTAATCCACCAACATAACAAATCCATCAATCCACCAGCCTCTACTACTACTCATACACCAGCACAAACACAAGCAAATCACCAACATACGAGATTCAAAGAGAGTTAAAAAGAGAAGAGAAGAGAAGAAATGTGTATCGTGGCCGTGAGGCTTGAAGAGTTGGAAGTCTTGGACTTGAAGCTTGGACCTTGGAGAAGAGAGTTAAAAAGAGAAGAGAAGAAGAGATCAAGACTAAAGACACAAGAGATGAAGAAATGTTGAAGATTTGAAGAACTGTGGCAGAAAACTGAAGAAAAGCATAAGAGAAGGAGAAAAGAAAATCTTTTAATTTTTCATCCAAAACGGCGTCGTTTTGGCTTTTCATTTAAATATTTTTTTTGCCTATAGTAATTCGGCAATAATATGCATATAATTCGCGAATTATATGGATTGGGCATATAATTTGCATATTATACAGCAACCTTGATAAAATATGTAAATTTGAGTTTTATACGCGAATTTACTAACTAGGGCCTAAATTGCTTTCATTTACAAATTTTGCATTCTGTTTTCCTTTCTTTGTCTAATAAATCGTAAAAAATTTGCTCAGCCACCGTTTTTTGAAATTTTAGATGAGAGAACAGATAAAAAGCTTGTTAGAAGAGAAAAACATGAGCCCCATTTTATATGAAAATTTAGAATTTTGATTAAAAATTTATTTTATTCTCTTCCTTTTTTTGCATTTTCTCTTTTTAAAAAAAACAAATTTTTTTCTCAAATGAAAATATTTGTTAGTACAAAATTGCAAGGGGAACAAAAAATTGATATAATTAAGATAAATGTTTTGAGACAAATAAAATAAACCATATTTTCAGGGGGTTTTATCAATTGTGTAGGTGATAAATTTCATATATATTTTTTTTCAATCAAATATATCAAACTCTTTTTTTTTTTTTTTTAATCATTTTCAATATTTTTAAAATACAAGAAATAGATACAAAAATTTCATAAAATAATACATTCCTAGCCTTCTACCAACTTTTGTCTTTTTTTTTTTAATTATTATTATTTTTCTTTTTATGGAAGGCAATTTGGTTAACTCACATAATTCTAGAGTAAATTCTTATTTTCAAATAAAAACCTTAACATTTTCAAAATTAGAACTAGTGAGATGGCTATACAGGGGAATTATCTAAATACTTAGCCCATATATATATATATATAGATTGAATCTTAAATAAAAGGGGTTTCTTAACCCTCAAAAGTTGAATCAAGTAATAAATTTTCTCCTAAAATTTCAAAAATAACATAAATCCTCTCATTGTTAGTATGTCGTTTAAACTTATAACATGAAAGGTTAATAAATATTTATCTAATTATCCTTCATTTTTTATTTTGACCCCAGAAGCTAAAGGGCAAATAGAATTCTATAATTACTATTGACGATAGAGGGATTTTTGTTATTTGGTTATACTTCGCGGAATTATTTTAAACCATTAATACAATCAATCAACTTATTCATTGTTTTTAAACCTGTCTAAGATATTTATCTATCCGGTGAATTCTCAATCCTCTATTTTGCAGCAGAAAACGTAATTCAATATGCATGATTTCAGGTTTTCGATGAAGAATTTGTGTTGCAAAACACCACGAAAAATTCCAAGGAAAGTCATGAAATCTATTAGTAGTAATTTGCTGCATATCTTTACCGTAAATTTGGACTGAAAAACCATGAACGATAAACGCATTATTAATAAACTTATAATGATTTCTGATAATAATGGGCCTATACCTTGGGTCGAGGGCTAAATGGTTGGGTAAAACTTATCTTGAAAAACCGGCTTGTCAAAAAAGAGGTACCCAACTCCTTATAAACCACTTAATCCCTCCATTCCTTTCCAATGTGATCTCCTAACAATTTCAAATATCATTTTAGGTTTTGTAGTCTTTTTGCAATGAATTGGGCGCAGCCAACCCTTAAGCTTTGCAAGATATTTCAACAATGAAATGGGCACAACCAACCATTCCTTTGCCAAGATACTATGTTAAAAAGAGAAATGAAAGAAACGAAACCCTGTAATTCTTTGAATGTGTTTCATATGAGCTTTATGTACACTGCATTTTTGCTTGGTCTGGAACTTGTAGCTGATACAACTCCACATTTTCACTTACTTCCTTCAGAGCACCTTGACCCAGAAACGTTAGAACCTATGGCCACGGACCAAACACCGTAGTAAGAACATCTACAGGTCATCCTTTAAAAACGAAGCTTTTACAGATTTGAAAATAAAAGAAAAACGTTACTCTTAAATTTTTTCCAGTTATTTTAATCCCAGTCCTCTTATTCCAAGCCTTCGAAACAATGAGGACATTACAATTCATGGATGAATAAATAATATATAAGAGAAAGCAATGTCATTTTTTAACTATCATCAGCTCTATCATACCAGTTGGAGAAAGTGCAGAACAAAAGCCAGACGGCGAAGGCGTAGAATAGTGGACATAACCAAATACAATAAAACTACATTATTGCTTAATTCCAAAGGAAAACAGGAAAGCAAACGAAGAAAAGAGAATCAAAAACCTCAATTGCAACATTGAAGCAACAGAACTCATCTTTCTTGGGCCATTGGACACGCCAGCATCTAAAAACTGACAGACTAAATAAAGAGATACTACTTTTGGGGGAATATACAAACAGAATTCAGACTCTATACCTCCAACATGATGATTATCAGCAGACAAGGTATAATATTGTAGTAAAATTTCTGTTTATACTGTTATTACAAAAGATATTGCCTACATTAAGGTTTCACCGCGTCAAGATTTTGCACCATCAATTTGATAATTCACTGCTATCTTTACAATCCTAGATACCACCAATTAAAGCAAAAGCTATAAACTTTGGACTCCTGACAAGCAGGCTTCATCAAATTTTGGTCTTAATCACTGATTAGAGTCACAAGTTTCTGAAGCACATGAAAGGAGTTAATTTATAATTGAAACCTATGCTTTCCAAGATGGCGTGCTAGCTCTCCAGCCAAGGCTTGGCCGGGTATATCACCATCAGTTACCAGGATAATGCAAGAAACCTCAAGATTCATTTATACTTTTAAGAAATAAGATCAAGCAATGAAGAGAGGAAAACCAATAAAAATTTCCATATCAGGTCAAGCATGCATATGTAGTAAGTTTACCTTATCCAAGTGCTCTTTGCAGTTCATATATACCAATATCCAGTATCCTATGTTCCCAAACATGCACAAAAGATATTGTAAGCTAATATTAAAAAGTCATTGTCGAAATGCCAAGTTTGATATGAAAATTTAAAAAATAATGCATAAGAATCCAAAACAGGCAACACTAGATAAACAGTTTCTCTTTCATTATGAAAATCCAATCAAACCTTAGATGGGATGGAAGAACTATTTAACCCACCACTTACATTATGCAATATTTATTGGCAATGAACACATACTATAAAATATACATTAATTCATAGCGAAGTTAGAATAACTTAAATGGGCTACATATTAAATGGAATTAATTGCCTTTTACTTTAAATATTGAAGTCTTTTTTTTTTCCGTAAAATATTTTTCATGTAACCATATTCTTGAGCTATGTTATGCATACTAATATCCCACCTATTTGCCAATTAATTTTTTTTTTGAGTTGAATACATTTATGTAAATCATCATTAAGGGGTCAAAAATTTCCAAGTCTCAAACCAAACTTTTTCCTGTAGTGGTAATTCTTTCGCAGAAACCTTTCGTGGTGCTCCACAAGGAACACTTACACAATTTAGGAAACCAACTGCCTTGATTGCAAGCTTATGCATTTCACCTTCAACCTATGATCAGCAACAATAGACAAAATTCACTAGAGAAAGAAATTTGAATTACTGGGTAAAAGAAGCCAAAATATGATGTAATGATATTTACAATGATAATTTCAGCAGTTTCCTTCATTTCATCAAGTCCAAATGACCATTTCTCTGTGTCCCTCTTCTCCTGAAATGAAAGGAAAACCATCTCAAGCCTGATGCTTGGTACTTAAAACATTCCATTGCCTCAACATATGAAATTTTGACAAGTTATTCTTTTATTGTAACATTTGTGCTAAAACATAAACTAAACCAAAGGCCTGGTACCCAGAGGGGTATGGCCCTCCAAAATGTAAGTTTGAGTCAGTTCGAAACATTTGATCAACAAAATAATGAGGATATGAGAATATGTAATCACTTCATTCCAACTAAGGATCAATCTATCTAGGATTTGGCAGTCAGTTACCATGTAATCTTAATCACCACTCTGGAATTCCTTTTCTAAAAGCCAAAACACATTAATTAGAGCATTTTATGTGGCTGTGCTATATCCCACTTATATCTCTGTCATTCAATTGGTTTATCAAACTATATTTACCCATTCAACAATCCAAGGAAAGGATGAACACAAATACCTGCCAAAAAAATTTCTCCCCACAGGTTCAGTACTTGCAACCAATGACCACCCCATTTTGTCTAAAAGGGAAAGCTTTGACAGCCTGTTAACAAAAATTTTGGAAGTGGTTAAATTGCAAACTTCAAGATGAGGGCAAGATCCATCGTACATTTAAATATTTTTTTCAGAGATAATAGCGTCTGCCGTGTGCATAATTTGAGAATTAAAATTGTTAGGATACTCCATAATTGACAAGTCAAATAAGCTACCAAGACTTGCATCTATAAATATAAATTGCTAGATGTAACATATTACACTGACAAACTATAGGCAAAAACTCAACAGATTAATCAGAATCATGGGACCAAAGAAAAAATCTTTGCATTACATCAACAACTGCCAACGTCCACGAGCCAGTGGGAATAGAGAGGTGACTGAATGCAGTGAGGAGCAAGGTAAATTAACTCTTACAAACCTAGTTCATCAAATCCTACGTTATCATAAAGTGATATACAGTAACAGTTATAGATTTGGAAAAGTTGATCCCAAATGTGAATCCATTTTCATTTCAGAATGATACTTTTGAAGGAGTTTAAAAAGCTACAGCAACAAGTATCTATCTTGCCTACTAGTGGCAATCATTTTCTACACCTTGGCTGCTGATAATAGTATGCATCAATTTCATCAAATTAATCTCTAAAGTTGTATAATCCACTTATAGGGTACAATTCGGCATTCTCAATTACTTCATTCAGTACTTGTGGTCCGAGATACATAAGTACCTGTGAGCATCATATAAAAAATTGTTATTTGTTGAGGTAACGAGCTCAAACAAAATGTTGTAGCAAAATAACTCCAGATTACCAACTAATATAACAATGTCTACAATGAAACACAACCTTATGCATTGGCAACAACATGCATGCCTTTATCACTAATCCACTTGGTCTAGAATCATTTACAATCAATACCTGGGAAAAAAAATGCAGAAATTATGCAAACAGAAAGTAGCTTCCCTGCTTGGTAGACACATAAGCTACAAGCAAGACAGACAAACATATCTAAATTTTTTTTTTTAGTAAAAGAATAATACATTAGTTTTTAGACATATATGTATCTCACTTATAATATACAGACTTTGATATCTGACCTCATTTGCGTCTTTAAAATGATTAACCTCATAGCTCTTTGGCCACTTGACTCGCCAGCATCTGCCATAGATATTGTAGAGAAATATTTTCTTGTATATTCATAATGAAATGTACAATGAATTTATAGCAAAAACAAAAAACTAATCTAGGAAGTAAATTGTTACATTCCTATTATAATTCTATTTCCTATTCCTATTATAATTCTATTTCCTATATTACAATGAGAATAATTCTATTTCCTATATTACAAAGAGAATAATTCTATTTCCTATATTACAAAGAGAATAATTCTATTTCCTATTTTACATTTCAACACTCCCCCTCAAGCTGGAGCATATAAGTCATATGCACCAAACTTGTTACAAATAAAGTCAACACGAGAACCTTTGAGAGACTTAGGGGGTGTTTGTCTAAGCTTATGAAAATTAGCTTATAAGCAACAAGTGCTTATAAGCTAAAATTAGCTTATAAGTATTTGAAATTTTAAGCAATTACGTGTTTGGTTAAAATACTTATAAGTGCCTGATAAGTAGTTGACGTGTTTGGTAAAATGTGGCTTATAAGTACATTTTATTATAAAATAACTAAAAAATGTACTACATTAAATAAGGGTATACTATGGAATTTTAAAATTAAACAAGGATAATGTGGTAATATACTTGGTCAAACTAACTTATAAGCAGAGTGCTTATAAGCAAAAAAAAAAAAAAAGTACCTCCCCCCCAACTTATTTTTTTTGGCTTATAAGCTCAACTTATAAACTCAAAAAAGTTATAAACAAACAGGTCAGCTTAATTTTAGAGCTTATAAGCTAGTTTGACCAGCTTATAAGCTTAGACAAACACCCCCTTAGTGAGGATGTTTGCTAACTGGTCGTTGGAACTGACATAACTAGTTGCAATACACCCTGATAAAACTTTCTCTCGAATAAAGTGACAATCAATTTCTATGTGTTTAGTCCTCTCATGAAACACTGGATTTGAAGCAATATGAAGGGCAGCCTGATTATCACAGAGTAACTTCATTTGTGATACTTCGACAAATCTCAACTCTTGAATTAGTTGTTTTAACCAAACCAGCTCACCAGTGGCTAAGGCCATTGCACGATACTCTGCTTCAACACTTGACCTTGCAACAACCGCTTGTTTCTTACTTTTCCATGAAACTAGGTTTCCTCCAACAAGAACACAAAATCCTAAGGTAGAACATCTATCATATGGAGAACCTACCCAATCAGCATTTGAATATCCGACAATATGCGAATGGCCCTTATTTTCATACAGTAAGCCTCTACCTGGTGCTCTCTTGATATACCTTAAAATCCAGACAACTACATCCCAATGACTATCACATGGAGTTTGAAGGAACTGACTCACAACACTAACAGAAAAGGAAATATCCGGTCGTGTGATAGTAAGATAGTTAAGTTTTCCAACAAGTCTTCGATACCTTCTAGGATCAGTAAGAGGCTCCCTCTGTCTAGGTGAAAGTTTTAAATTAGGATCCATAGGAGAGTCTATTGGTCTGCAATCTGACATCCCTGTTTCCTCTAGAATATCCAATACATACTTCCTCTGAGAAATAACAATACCAGATTTAGACTGAGCGACTTCTATGCCAAGAAAATATATGAGTAGCCCTAAGTCTTTCGTCTGAAAGTGTTTGAACAAGTGTTGCTTCAACTGTCCAATGCCATCTTGATCACTTCCTGTAATAACAATATCATCGACATAGACAACCAGATAGATACACTGCCCTGATGATGTATGTCTATAGAAAACAGAGTGATCAGACTCACATCGAATCATACCAAACTCTTGGATAACTGTGCTAAATCGTCCAAACCAAGCACGAGGAGACTGTTTTAGACCATATAGAGAACGACGAAGTTTACATACCAAACCAGACTCCCCCTGAGCAACAAAACCAGGAGGTTGCTCCATATAAATATCTTCCTGAAGTTCACCATGAAGAAAAGCATTCTTAATATCCAATTGATGCATAGGCCAGTTCCGAATGGCAGCCATAGCAAAGAACAACCGGACGGAAGACATCTTAGCAACAGGAGAAAAAGTGTCAAAATAATCTGTCCCATAGATCTGAGTGTATCCCTTGGCCACCAAACGGGCTTTCAGCCGATCAACCTTACCATCTGGACCAACCTTTATAGTGTAAATCCATCGACAACCAACAGTCGAATGGCCCGGAGGTAAGGAAACTAACTCCCAAGTATGATTATGATGCAAAGCAGACATTTCTTCAACCATTGCCTGACGCCACCCGGGGTGAGAAAGTGCCTCATGAACATTGCAAGGAACAGAAACAGAAGAAAGGGTGGAGACAAAGGCATAATATGAAGGATATAAACGATGATAACTCAAAAAATTGTAGATGGGATGAGGGTTGCATGTAGACCGCATACCTTTACGAATAGCAATGGGAAACTGATCAGCTGGAGACAGGACCGTGGCATTGGAGGAATCGGGCACAGGACCTGCAGTGACAGGGATCTCAGGAACGGCAGCGGGAACATCAGGATCACCTGTAAAAGGAACAAGACTATTGTCGACAGGAAGAGTGGTATTAGTAGTAGACTGAGGTATCGAAACAGACGAAGGTGGGAAAGCAACGTATGGAATTGGTAGAACATCCACTACCGGATCAGACTCCACTGGAGGATGAGGAAAAAATGGAGAAGACTCAAAGAACGTAACATCAGCAGAGATGAAGTAGCGATGTGTGGCAGGAGAATAACACTTGTAGCCCTTCTGAAGACGTGAATACCCTAAGAAAATACATTTCATAGACTTGGCTGACAGTTTATCCTGACCAGGAGGGAAAATGTGAACAAAACAGGTGCTCCCAAAGACACGCGGGGGAAGAGAAAATAATGGACTATCAGGGAATAATATGGAGTGTGGAACCTGGTCTTGTAAGACAGAAGAAGGCATGTGGTTTATTAAGTAACAGGCGGTTAGAACCGCGTCAGCCCAAAACCGGAAAGGGACGTGGCTATGTAAAAGAAGAGTGCGAGCAGTTTCAATGAGGTGTCTATTTTTACGCTCAGCAATGCCATTCTGTTGGGGACTATAAACACAAGAAGACTGATGAAGAATTCCCTGAGATGTCATGAATTTAGTAAAGGAATCAGAGAAATATTCACGAGCATTATCACTTCGTAATATACGAATGGTAGTATTATGTTGAGTCTTAATTTCAGCACAAAATGATGAAAATATGGAAAATAATTCAGAACGAGAGCGCATAAGAAATAACCAAGTGCAACGGGAATAGTCATCAATAAATGTAACAAAATATTTAAATCCCAAAGTAGAGTTAACACGACAAGGACCCCACACATCTGAATGCACTAACTCAAAGGGGGACGCAGCCCTTTTATTGGCACGCTTTGGAAAAGAACTATGAGTATGCTTTCCAAGCTGACACGACTCACAACTCAAGGATGATAATGTAGATAGACCTGAGATCATTTTTCGAAGTTTGGAAAGACTAGGATGGCCCAAACGATTATGAAGGAGATCCGGAGACTCGGAGACAATGCATGCTATAGATGGGATATAGAGATATTAGAGACCCTGTGACTCACATCCTGTGCCAATCATCCGTCCCGTGTCGCGATCCTGTATAACAACAGAGTCAGTATCAAAATGAATAGAGCAATTTAAGGAGCGGGTAAGTTTACTAACAGACACGAGATTAAATGGACATTTGGGAATATAAAACACAGAGTCTAATGCTAAGGAGGGGAGGGGTTTTGCACATCCAATAGCTTGAACATCGACTTTAGACCCATTGGCTAAAGTAACAGGAGGTAAAGATACAGTATTTGTAATCTGAGTAAGTAAACGAGGGTTACCAGAAATATGATCCGAGGCACTTGAATTTAGGACCCAAGGTCCTAGAGCGGAAGACTGAGAAAGGCAAGTAACTGAATTACTCGTTTGAGCGACGGAGGCAATAGATGAAGAAGACTGCTTATGGGTCTGATACTGTAAGTATTCATCATAATCAGTACCAATGAGAGTTAAGGAGGGCTGAGTTAGCACTGTAGAGGACTCGGAATGAAGATCAGAGTGATCAGCCTGAGCAATATTAGCAGCTCGGGTAGGTCGACCATGTAACTTAAAACATTTCTCTTTGGTATGCCCCCACCGATGACAGTAACTACACTTGGGCCGATTTCCTTTGCCACTTCGATCGTCCTGTTCTCGAAAAGTGTGGGACTGAGAAACAAGGACCGAAGAGTCACCTGGGGAATGCACAGTAGTAGGGGAGGAAACCCGAAGTAATCTGGCAAACACTTCATCAAGGGAAGGCACGGTGGATCCAGAAAGAATTTGATCTTGAACAAGTGTAAGATCTGGACCGAGAGCTACAAGTGTCAGGACCATAAAGAACTTGTCCCGTTGAGCCAAATCTTCTGCCGTAGATTTACCAGCTGGTGACAGCCGATTGAATTCTGTCTTAAGGGAAGCCATCTTACCAAGGAAGTCCGACATATGCATATCCTGTTGTTTGAGATGAACTAGGTTGGACACAATAGAATATAAACGTTGAATGTCATTTGTATAGAGAAGTTTAGCCTGACTCCAAATATCAACACAAGAGCGGTAAGATTTATAAATAGGGTGAAGGAGGGGGGGGGGGGGGGGGGGGTGTCAATAGTTTGCCATAACATACTACACAGCATAGCATAGCATAAATTTTAGTCCAGGAAGACTTATCTGACGTAATATCGGCAGCTTTAGTGGTCAAGTGATCCTCCAAACCTTGACCCATACACCATAATTCGACAGAGGCAGCCCATGATGAATAATTAGCAGTCCCAATTAATCGATCAGTGGTGATGGGAGGGAGAGATACAAAAGAAAAAACACTTGGATGCGAAGGAGAGGCTGTTTTTGAAGAATCCATGAAGTCTTGAAACTGACAGAAACTTACGCTTGCCAGAAAACTGAACACTCACCGGAAAAACAGTACACTCGCTAGAAAACAGATCTGAGCAGAAGCTGACGGAAACACCTTGAAGGGGTTTGCCGGCGAGGTGGAGAGGAACAAGATGCCGGTGGCGGTGAGAACTCATGCTCGTCGGAAAAACAGATCGACGCGTGAGGGCACGTGCAGCGGCGGCCGACGACGAAACCACTTGGGTTAGGATGACGAGGAGAAGACGATCAGTCCAGTGTGATTGGACCAGATTCTGATCATTGCCGGAGAGAAGTAGCCGAAAAAAAAAATCTGAGAAAGAGAGAAATTTTTTTGAAATTTCAGATACCAAGCTTTGATACCATGTGGAGAAATATTTTCTTGTATATTCATAATGAAATGTACAATGAATTTATAGCAAAAACAAAAAACTAATCTAAGAAGTAAATTGTTACATTCCTATTATAAATCTATTTCCTATTCCTATTATAATTCTATTTCCTATATTACAACGAGAATAATTCTATTTCCTATATTACAAAGAGAATAATTATATTTCCTATTTTACATTTCAACAATATAAATAACTGATTAGAAGATTGCCTAAAGAGAGAATAATGGTACACAAAATCATCAGTGCATCTTGACTAGATATAGACTTTTCTTTTCCAAGGCGGCGTGCAAGTTCTTCAGCTAAGGCTTGACCAGGCAGATCCCCATCAGTGGCTAGTATAATGCGTGATGCCTGTCAATACCAACATCTTTAAAACCAATGCCTTTATATGTTTATATTAGCCACAACTGAAAGTAATAAGCCTATCATACCAACCTTTTTAAGGTACTCTTTGCAGTTCCACAGATACTGATACTTAGTGTCCTAGCTTTACAAAATACACAGAAGGTGCATTAGATCCAGAATTTTTAGCAAGTGCACAGAAAACACATGTTCTCAAATGATGAGAGAGAATCTCTATTTGTGCTCCAATTTTTTGCCTTCAGAAATATAGTATATATGACCTTCTCAATCACAAAAGATCAAATGCAGCAAAGTGAAGCTTAAATAAAGCAACCACCACTTAAGGGGAAAAGGTTACAGTCAGACCATGTATTAGATAAACCTATTATCTANGACATGAGGCTCATCCCTTTTCTCCTCCAACTGAGTCTCAAAGACAACCATCTTGTCTTGTTGTACTACTGGCTCGGTACCGCCCTCATCCCGCTCAGCTCCTTCATCTAGATCTGCCAAGAAGGACTTGCACATCTCGATTTCCTCATCAGGATCCCATTCGTCCAACTTGCCTGCCTTGAAATCCTCTATTAGCTTAGCTCGGGTCTTGAATATAGCTTCAGTAGCTATAGACTCTAGCCTCTTCAGCAAGGCAGCTTTCTCAGCTTCCCACTCATTCTAATTGGATTCCTATTCGGCTCGGGCATGCTGTAATTGGGACTTGACCTCCGCTCAACTCTCGCGTAGCTTTTTCTCCTTTTCTTCTACCTTAACCAACTGGTTTCTCAACTGAGAGTTTATGTTGCACAAAGCTTGGTTCTGCCTCTTTTGAGCAGACACCAACTTTTTCAAGTGCATCCCCCAGGCAACTACCTATAGTCAAGGATGCCAATTCTAGTAAGCTACATGAAACTTAAGGAGAAAATACCAAAGCAAAAGGAATAACAAATACCTGAAACAAACGAGTGGAAATCTAGTCGGCTGCCTAAGGGACACCAATCTCACTCAGTCAGCGTTCATCTTCCGATAGCAACAATGAATCCATCACCTTGCTCACAAAGGACATGCCATTGTAAGCTAAGGCAGTTGAAGGAATGACTATCTTCAACGTCTCCTCATCATCAAGAATCACAAACCTCTAAGATAACTCCACCTTTTGAGTAGACAGTGGAGAAAAGCCAGACAAGACCGTCTTAATAGTAGTTGACTCGCCTGCGACCGACTTTGGCTGTTTCCTTTTCTTCCCTTTCTCGATTCGGTGTTTCTCTCGAAGCTCTTTAGCGCTCGGCACTTGAAAAGTTCCTTTCATTCTCCCCTCTACAAGAGAGAATTCTTCGAAAGTTAGAGGATGGAAAGAAGACTCACCAAAGATAAGGAAATTGCAGTACTGAACCAATAAGGAGTATAGCAATAGCCCCAAAGGTGGAAACGAGATACCTCGTTGGATATCTGGAACATGGTTCCGCAAGTGGTTTTGTCTTAGGTTTGACTTTTTCAACACACGGTGGTAATCTCTATCTTTCTTAGGGAGCTCGAGTATGGCTTGCCTCTTCTCCTCAGCAAGCAACCTTGAAAATGTCTAGTTGTACGACAAATTTGCTAAAGAAAAAGCAATGAGATTCAGTACACTAACAAATACCAAAAACTCTAAGAGTACTCACCCATTGCCTTCCAAAAGAAAGGGATCTCGTCCGCTCCACTCTCCCCAAAGACCAACTCTTCCTTCATAAAGCAGTATGCGTCCTTCCACCCCTTATTGTAAGTCTTGAGCCCCGACACCAAGTGGTTGTAGCAGTGTTGCAACATAAAGAGATATCAACCATTCTCTTTGTCATGCTTTTTCAAGTAGTAAGAGTAAAGTAGATCCATGGCTCCAAACTCTATGAGAAGTCGTATACACAAACACTTTAATGCCATAAGCAATCTCCATATGTTCGGCATTAACTAGTTAGGGGCAATGAGGTAATGGTTTAGCACCTCAAGAACCAACCTTGGGATGGGAAATCGCATACCATCAATTAGTGTCTACTCATAGATGCTAACTTATCCCAACACGGCCCAATGTACCCTCTCATAACTAGTTGGGACTCGAATGTCTACCGACTCAGGGATCTTATAGAGATATCTAAATTTTGGTACCTCACCATGAGTCAAGCGTGATGGTGGGTTGTCAACTAGCATTCCACCTTTAGGACGACTCTACTCATCCCTATTGCCACCACTTATGGATGGCGTTCCACTTCCCCTATTGACATGTTCCGGTTCAAGTTCATTCTCACCCTCAGGCTCATCACTTGAGAGCCTCCGTTGCTTGAGCAATAATCACTTGGCTCGGCACTCGTTCCTATAGATGGGCTAGTGATAGGTTACTCTTGCAGCAAATGGGCGGTGGTTGGTTTATTATAGGTTAGAGATAGAGATAAAACCCTAGTTTTAATTGTGTCGTCCTATAGATGGGCTAAATCATACCGACCCTAGGCTTTGGGCCTCAATTATAGTATAATATATCCCAATCCTACAAATATTGCTGTGATTTCTTTTTATTATTGTTGTTTATGTATCCAGCATTAGGTTTTAGTCATATAAGTCTATGAGTTTTGTATATATCAATAGGTTCAAAAAGTGACTTTAAAAGAACCTTATTCTTCTTGAAAACAAATTTGTCTCCAATTTTTTTTTTTTTCTTTTTGTGTGAATGAATACACTTAAATCAGTACAAGATATAGTAATTTATAACATTGCATGTAAGAACTAAAATTTCTTCACATATTTATAGTTGGTGAAAAACTTTGTGATATATGAAGAATTCATCATTGTGACAATGTGTTCATGCATGATTGTGTCTAAAAGAATNAGAAGAAGAGAAGAAGATGCAGAGGTAGAGATGCGTTAATGGCGGGAGGAAGAAGAAGGTGTTTGGGTTTGTTTGCAACAATTTCGGGTTTGTGGGAATATAGTATAATTTTGAAAAGATTACATAATACTTCTTTAATCATAATTAAGCACTAATCAAGTTTAATTACCCTTAATCAATAATATGACTATTTAGTTAAAACTTTAAAACTTGATAGCTTTTTAATTAAATTCAAACTTGAGAGGTTGTTTTAATAAACTGCCCTTTGAAGCTAAGTGAAGGCGGAAGACAAAGAAGGTAACCGTGTGTTCTTTTCAAGAACAATAGTGCTACTCACAGTTCCATCTCACAGTTCCATTTCAAATGACATTTGAACTTGAATTCAAAAATGAAAAAAAAAAATTATTATTGAATTAAGTGTACCCGTAAATTTTATTGATAAATATAGAATTGATAAATTAATCAAAATTTTATTTTGTCAAATTTATATATATATATATAATAAAAGAAAGAGAATAAATTGGGGGCAAAGAAAAAGGAAAACGTAAGCAAACACGTTTTATGCGATTTTCTAAGAATCTAAGGATAAAAAATAAAACATAAAATTTGTAAACGAACGGGCCTTATAAAATTTGTGTTTTTTATTTTCTCTTTTCTTTAGAGAATACATAATATGATTTAAAAATGTTAAAAATGAAAAATGTTCGGCATGTATGTGTGAAAACATTATTTAAAAATACGAAAAGTAAAAATATATTCAGCATGTTTATATGAAAATCCAAAAAAAAAAAAAAAATACCTACACAGTCGATAAAACATCTTTAAATTACTACTTATTTTATTTGTCCAGAAGAACGTATCTTAAATATGCTAATACTTACTTCCCAATCATAATTCTGTGTCCAAAATTTTAATTTGAAAAAAAAAAAAAAAAAGTATTTGATGAGAGAGAAGAAAATATAAAAGAAGAATAAGATTATATTAATTGTTTATTATATAAATGAGATAGGTTCACGTGCTTTCCCTCCCCTTGTTTTTCTCTTAGGTGTGTTTGGTTGGAAGTTATCTCCCATTACTATGAGATAATGTCACCTCATATTATTAGATTATCATGTTTGTAGGGGTATTCGGTTTTCAGGTACCCTACATTTTTTTAAGGAACCGAAACCAGAACCGAAGGTTCCTTGAAATTTAGAATCGGAATCGACAGTTCCGGTTCCTAGGTACCCAGAACCGAAACCTGTAACAATAGTTTCGATTCCGGTTCTAGGTACCCTGTAAAATTACATGACCCCTCAAAAGTTTTTAAAATGGCAAAAAAAAAAAAAACTTATGAAGACCCCCCCACTTGGAACTAGTTAACAAAAATAAACTTACAAATTATAAATTCAAAATTAAAAACTCCATTACTTTGTAAAGATAGATTCTCAAAAATTAAATCAACTTACTTTAAATGTTATGAAATATAAATATAAATGTATTACTTTTTCTACAAAAGTTTTTATTAATCCCCTACTCTTTAATTTTATTTTATATTACTCTCGGTTCCCAGTTTCGGTTCCTAATTATAAAAATCGGAACCGAAACCGCACAGTAACGATTCCAAAAAATTTATAATCGGAACCTACCCGTTGACGGCCGGTTCTGGGTAAGAACCGGAACCAAACCCAGGATACCCGCCGGTTCCGGTTCTAATCGGTTTTTTTGAACACCCTTACATATTTGGTTGTTAAGTGATATAAGATTTCGATAATCTTCCAAAACAAGTAGTAATTACCTTTGGTAATATAAGTGGTAATCTAATTACCTCAATTTTTTTTAGGTATTTGAAGATTATTTGGCAATGTAAATTTTGTTACAATTTTAATCCTTATTGATAAAAATTTTGGACAATAATACCCTTAATTTAAAATTAATTTACAAGAACCTATCATCACAATTTTACCTCTAATTAATTAAGTTTTTTAAACAGTAATGTCCTTGTATTTAGAACAAATTGCAAGTCACTTAAAACAAATTGCAGGTCACCTAAGACCACCACCGCTCGCTAGCAACCATCGCCCACCGTCAACAGTCATCACTGCCATCAAAGGCCACCACCAAACGATGAGGCCATAACGATGCACAATTGGCTGGATCTAGTCGGTCATGTGCCGATCTGGCTAGAAACGGTCAAATCCACCATGGATTTAGCTAGAAACGGCCAAATTTATGGCCATAGATCTGGCCGAGGTCAACGGCCAGATTCTGGTTGTAGATTTGGCCAGAAACGGTCATATCGGTAAAAGATTGCCAAATCCAGTCAATTGCACCATTCCGACGACTGTCGGCAGTGGCTTAGGGTGGATGGGGGTGATTTTATCAGAAATTAAACTTTTATGTAACTGGGAAGTTTTGGCAAAAGCTCAA